TGCTGGATTTATGCACCAACTTACCAGCTCGCGCCTGCAATGCGCAGCTACCTCCCCCCTCCCCGAAATCATCGGTGAACGAAACTGCGGCAGCTGCAACCACTGTACGACGAGTACGCGGTTATTACAGCTGACAATGATGATGATGATGATGATGATGATGATGATGATGATGATGATGACCCTTTCGACTCGACTTAAAAGTGTGATTTACGAGGTGACGTGTAATACGATTTTCTAGTTTGAACCTGTCCTAATCCAATGGCTTAGTAGTTCGCTTGTGATGATGATGATGATGACCCTGAGCCTTCGACTTAAAAGTGTGATTTACGAGGTGACGTGTAATACGATTTTCTAGTTTGAACCTGTCCTAATCCAATGGCTTAGTAGTCTGGTTCGCTTGTATGTGCGGGACTGGCCTAGCCCCGGGGTGCTGTTTTTCAAGCCAGATGCTTTTATAGCCATACCAGATTTTTTTCCACAGTTTGTATTTCGACCAGTGGGTAATTCGCAGGCGGTTACGCCCAACGATTGTGCGCTAATTTTTTCTCCTCTTCAGTCGTTACGTAAGCATCCTCTTCAGGAGCCGAATAATGGCATTCACTTAGTAATGGACTGCAGTTGGTGTATCCCGTTCGTCAATTCAAGTAAAACGCGAGGAGAACGATGTAGACTCACAAAGCAGTGTTTCGCCCGTCCATATCGTTAATGGGGGCTTGATTATGAGCAACCCTCAAAGCAGCAATGTGCAACCTTATGTATCATATCACTAGTTCTTAGCAATGGATGTGTCAATGTGTACTTGTCGATTGTGCGGCGACAGTGAATATCAAGATAACTTTCCCGCCTATAACCGGCAGTAACGACTACCTTAGCACGTCATTGGGAGGTAAACGGCTCGATCTTGCACTTCTCCAACATACTGGCGCATCTGGAGGACGCCACTCGTAAGTTTGCTGAAAACTCTCCGACAGCCCGCCACTGGTTTCGTCCTCGGTCGTAATCACGATCGTCATCATCATCATCAGGGACCGCAACATCATTGTTGACAACAATGCTTCACTGCTGTACGACCGCAAAGGTAATTTAATTATACTTAAGGCCCTAAAGTGAAAAGAGGGAGCGAGATTGCTCAGTAGTAAGAGCGCAAATTTGTTGGCTGAAAGGTCCGTGGTTCAGACCCGACCTCTGCATCTAGACTTACCCCGTTTGGGCTTGGGCAACCTGATGTATACCAGCCCCGTGCTTCCTTTTGGTGGCATGGCAGTTAGACACCGAGTGGCACGGCTGAACGAAAGAGAAAAGAACAGTTGAGAGAGGCTTGATTCTAACGTAACATAAGCATTGTGGAGTGTTTTATCAGACAACCTGGAAAGAAACTGACAACGGGAACGAGAGATTCAGCCAGGATTCAGTTGGTGTCCCGTTAAAATTAAATTGTGTATTTAAAAAAAATTTTGTTGTAACGATGCCTACTCGGGCAGCGAATCTGGGACGTTTTCAGGTCGTTTACAGGCATTGTCTCATAATCGGCACAGATCAGCTCCAGCTGATATGTACGGGTCAGTTGGAAAACGAGCCAGTGAATTCAGTCGAAGAATGTGACCAGCGTCCGAAGCTGCAGTGGTTTCATGCCAAATTCTCGTCTACCGGCAACTGCTGTTTTTCCCACACAGTCCAGCTTGACGCGAGCACAGATATGGTCAATCTTGGACCTGACAGAGAGGTCTGAAAACAATTTCCGTCGCTCGACTCGCCTTCCAGGATGAGATTCACCTGGTCATCCTTCATCATGGTTGGGGATACTGCAAGATGTGACAAATAATCGATGTCAATGGCATTCTTGTTGTCATTTCCTCTCCAGGTTGTGTGACTATCTAGCAGTGTAGACATCATCAGAGATAAAAATGTGGGTATTGATACCGATGCTTGTCTGCCGTACAACCACAACATTCCCTTAATTATATTTGAAGCATTAAAGCGAGAATAATGGAAAGGAGTGAGTGTGTGAGGGACCTGCTGCTGGCTTATCACAAATGCTCTGAGTTGCCTATACCTTCAACCGCCCAGTTTTCCATTATAAGATCTTTTCATCAGCACACTTTGTCTGAGGAAACGGACATGCTGCGAACTGTTCACAGTTACACTTTACTGGGTGACTGCTTCTAACCCGTAAATCTTTTAAAGTATGTAAAGGGTGACTAGCATCTACGTATCCAAGCCTGTCCAGTATAGATCTTTACACTGCTTACTTTCATTCTTGCCTTTGAACTTTAGACCCAAAAGATTCCTTTGGAGTTTTAATGGTTAAAGCGAAAATCTTGGGCGTAGAAGCCATATTTGCTACCCTTGAAATGTAGGTGTAGGAGGCCCTGTGGATTGTCATTTTCAGAAAGATCCCATTACTACTGGTACAAGATGGTTTTCGGAATCAGTTTTTCGTAGGCTTTTCACGCTCATTCACATTGGTTGGTTCTACATACTGTGGACTCAGGGCAATATGGATCTATCTTGGACTCTGCTTTACCCATCTCCATTAATGAGATTTAGATGCCATTTATGGTGTGACATTCCAGGAGATGAAGGCCGATATTTTTTTGTGGAAGTCGTATGAATTTCCTTCGTCATTTCCTTTCAGCTTATGTGAACTCTAATGAAAACCGCCACACTACAACACACTCATTCGGAGCCAACTGCCAGGTTTGTCTAAGTTTTTTGGCTTGCTTTAACCTTGCTATGGTCTCAAGTAATTAAACACTCGATGAGGTAGGTGACCTTTAACCTCACTGACTGCCAAACCTTATAAGCAGATGCAGAGCCTCATACATAAGCTCGGGGGCATTTTTACGCAGGCTGGGATGTGTGTATTTTCCTTACTTCAAGCCTTATATTGGCGCCGTCGTTAACGTCGAAACCTTGGGTGATGAACAGTGGTCTTTTACTGGTGTCTTCGCATTTGCCCATATCATTAACAGGAACTATTCATTAACATCCAGATTGTACCGAGTAACCAACAGCTGGTTAGGTTGAAACACGCTTCCCTAGTTAAACGGCCAACTGCCTAATAGTGTCAGCAGCCTGAAACTGGTGAGCGAAAGGTCACGTGACTAATTTTCTTTACGTTCACTGGGCAAAATATCTCTTCCACTTGGTTTTTTCTAGGAAACCTCTTGTTGTTTATTGTTTTTCATTGTTGTGGGGTAGATAACTTTATTTTTTGATGAAGAATTCTCCTGAAGAGAAGAAATTGCAGGAAAGTTGGTGTGTCTTTGGGGATTTGCACTTATTGTAGCCTTTTGGAGGGCCTCTTTTCTCAGGGAACCTTTTGAGTGATTACTATAGTGATACATCTCACAGATCGCGTTATCTTATTTCAAATTTCGTCACTTGACGTGACCTGGGTGACAAATGGATTGGCGGCACCCTATGCTGTCACAATGTGAGTTAATCTCATTTTTCATCAGCCATTCACGTTGAAAGTAATAATATTCCAACTTCTAAGCGAGAGGTTGCGGCTTCGGATCACCCTCGAGATTCATGAGATTAGAACAGTGCTTCCGGAAGCCTCAGCATAGGTAGTTTTCATTCACCAAATCAGTAATTTGTCAAACATGGCATGAGTTATATGAAATAAACTCTTGTTCAGCCTAACTGACACCCTTTCTTCCCTATGAATTAGGTTAACAAAGAAACCGCCAAGACCGAGACAGTCTCAATCACCGGCAATCAAAGCACGTCAAAATACTGCTCAACGCGAAGTGAGTCGCTGTTATTTTCTTATCTGTCTGCTGTTCTCAGTTCTTCTTGTTCCTTTGCTTTTTCATTACTCCTCACGCCTTTTTTCGCCAATTTGATGATGCTCTTTTAGTTAGGACATGTAGGAAGGGGGATTATAAGCACTCATTTTTACCTGACTTCAAACACTTTCTATAGCGTTTTATACCCCTTCAAACATAGATTACAACCTGCAGTCCTATTCTAGCATGAATCCAAATAATTTCAAATTTTATCAAGTTCTTTGTTTTTAGGTTAGTTTGAATCTGCCAACTGAATTTGTAAGGCTTGTTGTGTAGAGAGGATGACAGCTAGGTTGCACCGGAAACAGCCACTTTGGTTGGCAGTATTACGTACATACGATTACATCTCCAGCCAATGCAGATTGCCTTGAAGATGATCAGCAGTGACCAGTGATGTTATATCTAACATGCTCGTTTCTCTTCTCTCGTCTTCAATGTGTTCTACTATACCATCTTGCAGTTATTTGCGGTAAATGTTGCGTAGTCGATCAACGCTATCCTGTTTTTAATCAGACTGACTAGATTTACAACGGAGTTCTTTCTAGTCATAATGAGTAGGACAGTGGATAGGTATTCCACCCTTACTAGAACTCATCTGTACTTGGGTTTGAACAATCTGGTGCCGTATCTCTCTGGCTCTACTTCCATATAACTAACCAGATTGACCACAGTAGTGCTGTAAAGCACAAAGAGAACCGATGGGGTTTTCGTTGACTTTCCGTCTATTTCATAATACGTCTTGAGCCTTGCCTTCGCATTCCTCCTCTTGTGTATCTGTGTAGCTTCCAGAAAAGGATGTTCCATCCCGTTCAAAACGACCTTCAGATTCCAGGGAATTTCAGCAGGGGCTTGGTTTGGAGAAATCTTTTATAGAGGAAATGGAGACTCGAGATCTTTGCTCCCGCCTAGAACAAATGCGGCCTCGTCTTACTTGTGAAACTACACCTGACCCAGTTGAAATGGAGCATGATACGTAAGTTCAGCTCAGTTGAGTTACAGGAAGCTTTCTGATATTTTTCACTGGAAACTGCATAGAAGTACATACCGTACTGGACATTAACAAGGTTGCGCGGAACTTTTTCAGTTTGAGTGCTCATAGTAGTCTAAAGGGAAAACCAGGTAGGATAAGCCATCTTTTGCATTCTTCTTGTTCGCATTCAAGGCATAAGTGATGCGGTCTTCGGATTCATTTTTCGCCAGTTTCCTACACTGGTAGCGAACAAGGACGAACGCTCACCGAAAATCATTGAAAGTTGCTGCACGGTTTTGTCAAAACTGAGATCTCGCGTGTTCTTAGGCAGGACAAGGTTGGAATAGCGTGCGTGATCCGTTGTGTCAAGCTTTCTGAGCAATAGACCTACTCCCCAGGTATCATCTTTGTGCTTCAGTTCAACTCTGAAAGCTTCTTCGTCTGAGCAACGAATCGAAGGTTAGCCCAGCATCAGAGTCATAATGGAACTCCACGATGCTGTTCGCGATCGAGTCGACTGAATTTCTATCTGAAGCGGAATTTGGTGATTGAATTTTTAAGTTGCTGTCGGTGCTACTCGCCTTCCAGGATGGGGACCGCGTGATCCTCACTGTGCCTGGTTGGAGACACTACAAGATATGGCTGCCAACCGATGTCAGTGGCGTTCTTGTTGTCAGTTTCTGTCCAGATTGCCTGAATGAATGTCTGGAGGTGTAGGCACCTCGGAATGATTGTGTTAAGCTAGCACTAAGTCCCTTCCCCATCCACCTTTATTCTTTTCTTTACAATAAGGCTTTCAAATAAGTCATGGCTGTACGGCAGTGAAGCATTGGTGTTGAGCACTGATGTCATGCTGTCGTTGATGATGATGATGATGCTGCGGTAATGTTTCCACCAAACGTAATTTCGCCGCTTCAAATTGGCTTTGTTGTTGCAGCGGAATTTCTTTCAACGCCTCAGCAGATATTGTCATGATTCTGTGGGTTCAAGCGTCGTCAATCTGTTATATCTGCTGCTGACTCCGCTCCAGTGCTTAGTGCCGGAAAAAAGACTCACAGAAGGGAACACAACAGGCCTTTTGGTCCACATCCCTGACATGTCGACCGCCCTCCTCTGCGACCCAGCAGGTCGGAAGTATTTCGTGTCTTTTTTTCGTGCTGCTGGTCTGCCAGCCATGCGCTGAATTAACACCACAGTTTGCCGGTTTGGTTTTTTGAATCACAACAGTACAATTGCAGGAATATTGGACAGTGTCCTCCATGGGGAGGTTCTCAAAAAGTTTTTTATACGTGAGATGCATAAAAGCTGTTCCGAAAATGGTTGGACAGTGTTACATGGCTATACGAATTTGTCCAGGTGTTTACATGAAACTTTGTGATCTTAGCTTGACTGTTATCCGACTAGTTGAATATGGACAAACTATTCAGTCTTCGACAAACCTACAGTTTTCAATCCAAACCATAACAGCTGAGTACAGATGACGCAGTCTAGTTACTCTTGTATAATACTTGTTCCTTCTAGCTTCCCTCTACCTTGGTTCTTCGACCATTTAACCTATGCCATCAATACTCTTCAGACATCAGGACGTTGATAACATTCACTTATTCTTTCTTTTTAGTGACTGCGATTTTCCGATGTGTCTATAAGATGTGGCTGTGCGACAGAAACTCCAACAGTTTGGCTCAGTTTGTTGCGGTGTGGAGTTCATTACAAGGGTGTGCTTGGGGATTGTTTCATTAGCTAGCTGACCTAACTGCAATGTTCAGTGAATCTGGGGCGAGATGGCCGAAGTGGTAAGAGCGCGAATTTACGGACGGGAAGGTCCGTGGTTCGAACCCGACCTCTGCCTCTCGACTTCCCCTGTCTAGGCTTGGGCAACCTGGCAGTATCCCAGCCCTCGTGCCTCCTTCGTGTGGCATGGCAGCTAGGCACCGGGAGGATGCTACAGCTGGACGATTATTATCATCATTTATCATATTATTCAGTGAATCCTGGGTCTTTCCACGGGGCGGGTGGTTAAGTACTCCGCGACATTTGATGGTAATCATTTCATATATTTCTTTGCTCACTGGTCTCCACATGAATAAATGCTTCCTCTCAGCAGGGCTACACTTCATTCTGTTCCAAGTCCCATACAAACTACGCTCAGTTACAAACCATTAAGCTGTCGAGTCTCGTAGTTGAGTGTTGTGGTCAACTAGTGAGTATTAATCACATGACAGTGGGCTCATCGCACATGCTCAAGATCCTTGTCCTTCTCACTGTTTGTGGTAATTTCTTTCATTTGGCAGCATAAGCAAACCGTCGATCTGCTGAATCATAGTCACAATCAGGTGCTAATATTTGTTTCGGATTCTCGTCTTACTTTCAGCCGGACAAAGTTCACGTCGCCCACCGACTTTGCCTATTTGGACCATTTTTTGAGCTCGGTTCAGACCAAAGTGAACCCACCCATTACCCTCCAGAAGAGCACTACAGGTAGAGTATCTTCTTCCTAGTTTCGAGAAGCTCGAACCCCCTTTCTTCAGATGTTAGAGATCCTCCTCGTGTTCCAGACCCATCGACAGATATTTTGGCCCAGTGGCGACTTCGAAGGAGAATAGAGGCTGCTCAAAAGGCCATAGACCCATCATTTCAGTGGAGCGGCCTTCCTGTACAAATGGTAAATCATCGTTTTTATGTGAGACTTTGAGCTGCCCCCAATTTGTTTTTCCGTTTTCGAGTGGCATCGAAATTCAAGTCCGACTTTGATAGCAAACACATGAGTAGAGCTACGTTTATGGGTATCATTTGATTGTGTGCCTAGTTAACTTCTTCATTGTGTATTTTCAAAGTGAGCATGTTCGATATTGTCTTTTACATCCATAGCCTACTCCAAATAAGTTGCCCCAACTTAACCATCAATGCACTACACTGCGCGCGCTCATAATATCAGGATGTACTTCTTGGGAACGTCTTTAAACTGGTCCACAAAACAATAGACTTCCTCTTTGGTTTTCCCGAGAGACTCAACTGAATCTCTCTTTCATGATATTCTACAACTAAATGTGCTACACACAGGCCGCCTCATGATTCGTTTGGCACGATATTCGAGATATCGCAGTATATCTCTCGAAAACAGTCCAATTTGGGTTCAAGTAGAACATGAGTTGAGGGAAACTCGGGGACTGTGCCTACCTAATGAACCCCAGGAAGGGCGAAACCGGTCGTGGGCTGTGAAAACATTTTCAGCTACCTTGAGAGTAGTTTCCCTTATGAAAATAGATTTCCTCATTTCGAACCTGCTTTTTTGTCATCTCATATTGGTGGCTGTCTTGTTCAATCTTCAGCCACACACCGGACACCAGACGCCCCTCCCATCCAACACCCCCTATTTAACTGGGACATTCAACTCTCCGTTTCACCAGTCTTTTTGTGCACCGTATCAAATCCCTGCTGCCCACTGCACCGTTGGCACACAGACGACTCATACGCCGGGCCGTGTGGATCAAGTGAACTCAGCTTCTCAGACGGATGAGCCATCAAGGTCCGACAATCAGGCGCTTCTTCTGTAGTCCAATGCTTGATAGGAATGTCATACGTCAAGTAACAGTATTTTTATCACACTGGCATAGAAGTGAGCTCAACGACTAGCTAACAGTAAACTAGTACCTAGTTCCTTCCTTTTGGTATATTTTTTGCAAGCTGATTGATACCACAAGTGAGATGAGGTTCATCTGCTTGGCTCACATAGTTGGTAAAGCGTTTCACAATAATTGATGTAACCAGGATTGTTTTTTAGTATTTCCAATTCCTTGTTATAGCGGACCAACCGCGTTATTGTCTGTTTAATTCTTCAAACTGTGTATCCACTTGGCCTGCATTTTCAGGTTGAACTGAACATCTCGTGCAGGTGCAATTAATTTCAATGTTTTATAATGTCGACTGATCGTTATAAGCTGTAGAGTCGATGCAGATTTGATATGAACTGTGTTTTGTGGCCATGAGTCGACGTATTCTCGCATTCTGGGATTCTCATTCACCGACGTAGAACATTTCGGCATTGCTGAGTTCATTCGTCAAAACATGGTTGCCATGTGGCCAAGTGCGAATCTGTCTGCTGTTCGGTAGTCTTGACTCCACACATTAAAAGGTCGGATTCATGTGTGGAGTATAAAACCTTTTGTGTCACGAAGCGGTTGGTCCGCATGATCTCACTGTGTCACTTTATGGATGTTCTTTTTCGAGAACCGATCAGTATCTCAGGATTGGTTTATTCCTTTCAATAAATTTTATGATACTCATGTGTAATATGACACCATCTGTGTGAATCATACAAATATCTGGCCCGAAACGGACCTTGATGAATGCGCCAACACAATTTATTGACTTGATATGAATTTACTGTACTGGCTGATTCCGTTTTGCATCCGTTGCTAAGGATGCATCACATTCAACTCGCTATGCTTTAGGATACATACCGGCGTGACGTCGACCAGGTCTAATGAGTTAAGCAGCAAGTCATATCAGGTCAGACCAGCAGAACCTGCTTGTCAATGAAGCGGAAAATTGATGCCATGCAGGAAATCAATGAGGGGTACTGTCGAATATTTCAACACTGCCTAAACATAACCTGGTGTGGTGCGAATTGGATTTACGGAATGTCGAAATGAAGGAATTTCGGGGCTATCGGGCTCCCAAGCCAGTGTCCGTTGCAGTGAGATATCAGTGTAATTCAGGACGAAGTGTTCATCTTAGCACCCTTCGGGGCTATCGGGCTCCCAAGCCAGTGTCCGTTGCAGTGAGATATCAGTGTAATTCAGGACGAAGTGTTCATCTGTAGCACCCTTTCGGTACCTAACTGCCACGCCACCTGAGAGAAGCACGGGGGCTCGGATACTGTCAGGTTGTCCAAGGCTAGACAGGGGAAGTCGATATTCAGAAGTCGGGTTCGAACCACGGACCTCTTGGTCAGTAAATTCGCGCTCTAACCACAGCCATCTCGTCCTCTAAGGACGAAGCACAAGGGATTGCTTGGAAAGTCTAACATGAACGTTTCACAGCCGGCAGTGGTAGTAACACTTGGGATTGAACGGGCAAACCAAGAGTTCTTGTTGGGAGACTTGGATGACCAGGTTTATTTTTGTAGGTCTTCTTACACCTCAGAACGAACTAGGAAAACAGCACCCAAAGTGAGTGGGCGTGGTTGCGGAATTAACACCCAGCTGTGTGTGCGCTGAGCCTTCGTCAACCTGTGTTAGTTTCATTGTATATTCAAGCAAACAGCTTTTAAAGCCTATACAGGAACACCCGAACTGGTTGACCGGTATTTGTGTTGCTAAGTTGGAAATACTTGCAAGCCACTCGATTATAGATACAGATTAGTAGTTGACACGACAGTCATACCTTTCTGCTCACTTCGATTGGTCAACCAACCCCTTTTTTCATTCACATGGTCACTCTAAGGAAAAGGTAATCAACGGGTGGAGCTCAATGTTTCACTCCACAGAACATTTGTAAGGATGCTTTGCCAGCTGCTGCCTGATTGTACAGTATACAGGCAAACAGTTTTTTCGCAACACTGTTGTGTGTGTATTTTAACATGTGTCACCTCAATACCCGACCCGATGTGGAATTACCCAGGATGCAGAATACCAACACAGAACAAGCTCTCTTCGTTTTGTCGGCTTTTGCCAGTTGTGATTGTACTCTGAAATCTGGAGATTTAACCACCTGGTGGGATCTGCGTATTGGATTTGTTAATTTACTGAGCCAATCCAGGTGGAAAATCACCTGCTTATGGGCGGTATGTCTGTTGTGGACCACAGTTTTCTTAATGCCCTCGTAATACCATGAACCCGGGTCTGGATAGCTGCTTGATAGCTTGTTGCGCTTAGCCAAACCAGGAAGCCAACGGGCGTGCGAATCAGCTTACCTATTGATCACTGACGCGCACACTCGTGTCATGTGCAGCGGAAAACGGGCTGCTTATAAAGCTGACGTGGAATGTTCCAGTTGGGCCAAAAATTGATACTAAAAATAGAACTCATCGGTAAGGGACGATTGAAAAACAACCAATTAAATCTTTCGCAATGAAAACGGTTATTCCATTGGTAGCTGTGTAGTCCAGTTACGTTCGGAGCTAATTTCCCCAATAGTCTGCTACTGGTGAAAGGAAGAAGGTCCTTCGCTGCGAATTTGTTTATTAGCAAACACGAACTAAACGCTTAGACACGAAAATAAATATCTGCACAGAGTTTTGAAAGGTGAACATCCACAATTGTCCCCTTGAACATTCCTGGACGTCCTCTGGATACCAAATAATGATGAACACACACTGCAAGACGGTTCCATACTTTCTTCAATAACCTTCAGCCTCCATGAGATGTAGAGGCAGAGTTAGGACACCAGACCACCCACTACTGATATGTTCCTCAGTAGTATGCTCTGTTGCACTGGTATTGCCACGGTTCACATAGTTTGCTAACAAGTGCTTGTTCTGACGTACTGTTACATGATCATCTGTCGGTTTCCAGCTAGAAAGGTTTTCTTGGTGTTTTACTTGATGGTATCCACGGGCTTATCTCACCCGTCCCAACTAAGGGCAGACATTACGTGTGGAAGTCACTACTAAGTTTAAATTAGGTCGCGATCACGGAGCACCTACTTAATCCTGACTCATGCAGCTAATTCTGTGGCGTTTGTATGTGACTGAAATGATACATTGCTGGTAGTATTATTATCATCAGATAACGTGACCATTACTCTGAGTCTTGTTATATGCTTGTCTTTTTAATACAGATCTTGTCGGGATGTGGCTGTCCTAGCGGTAGATGTTTCAAAATCGACGACCGATTCATCTACTAGTCCAGACAAAACTGAGCAACGCTCCGTGCGAATTATGGTGGTACCTTGTCGACGAGATGCTCAAGTACAAACTTCGTCAGATTGCGCTTCTAATGACACTCAGCCCAGACTGACGCGTGATACTTTAAAAGCATGGAGCAACGTTGTGAGTTTGTTGTTGCTACTTCAACTGAACAAATTTTTTGTCGATTTCGACGTCGCCCGGTTGTGTGCACTAACCTAGCATTGCACTTTATTATCAGCACACCTCGTGATTTTGTTAACGTCATTTGTGGCGTATACCCTGAGACTTGTCCTTTAAAGCCTTAGATTACTGTGATAATCTTCCGGTCAAACCTCTGAGCTTAAGGCTTTTATCCGATTTCGGGTGCTATGGAAGTATCCCAGGCCGCGTCTGTCCGTGATGTCGGCTTTGTCGATTTATCTGCTGTATGGGTAAACTAAAATACGACATTCCTGACACCTGTTTCCCCGCAGTTTCACACTTTCCTTCTTCCACTTTCCTATTGACACTTCAGGTTCCAACACTGGTACTAACCATTGTGTTCGCATTGCATCGCCCATGGCGTACACTTCCATCTACAGTTCTATTCACACGTCCATCTACACTAATATTCGAGGTACCTCAGAAACAGTCTTCAACTTGAACATCGGGTCCTGTAGTGTTCACGCTCGGAAGAATGCAGGCTAACAAGCTGCTTTTGCCTGTAGTCTGGCCACACTCGCGTGTGCTGAATGTCACAAACAAGAATTAAGGACGCAGATATTGTGATTCAACTGAATGCCCTGTCACTCTTACGTGCGCATCTCTGGTAGTGCGAATATTAAAAAAGGTAATCGTTTATCTGTAGCACCCTTTCGCTGCCTGGTTGCCATGCCACCCGAAGGAAGCACGAGGGCTGGGATTCTGCCAAAGTGCCCAAGCCTAGACAGGGAGAGTCGAGAGGCAGAGGTTGGATTCGAACCATGGACCTTTCGGTCGGTGAATTCGCGCTTTAACTACTGAGCAATCTGATAGCGTAAAACCCGCTATAGACAGATATAGCGGCGTGGGTATTCTGTTGAACCATCGGGCGGAAGCATCTTTACTTGGCCGGATACCTCCTGATGATCGCCTCTTTGCGATTCGTTTGGCAACGTCTGTGGAATAATCTTGAGAAAGAAGCCTATTACTTCCTGTTTATTGTAGATGCTTACGCTTCGACAGACCCTTTAAATGCTCTTTTACAATGAACCAAATGCTCAGAATTCACTTCAGTCGCTGGTAACGTGAACCCATAGATAGGTTTTTTTAGCTTTTCTGAAGCTTCATCCACTTGGATGGCTCGGATTGAACGCCAGACGCACGGAGAACGGAGAGCGCCGATCACAACTGTGTGACTGCCCCAAACTCTTCATAGCACCCGGTTCCCAGACATTGGAAATCGTTTGACTACATGGCGCTCATCGGCTAGCCGGCCGCCTATTTAAAAAGATCATGCTGGTATCATTCACCCATAGCGATGACCGATTACTGTCTGTCAATCCTCCTGAAATGTCTGTGTGGGCTCCGAATATGCACTTGTCTCAGAACCTTCATAGAAAAAAAACGAGTGTTTCAGTACCAACATTATGATTCAGTTAATGTGTTATGAGACAGAATGCATTTTACCGCTGTTTTTTGCACAGCACCACGTTCATGTAACTCGAAAAGATGAGCAACATTCAACTCCGGTTCTTCCGCATACTTCAAATGACCGACGACCGGAGTTTCACAACACGTTCCTTCTGGACTCAATACTGGACTCAGAGAGTGCTCGACGTACAGAAACAGGAAGCGGTTGGCAGGTTTCCTCGTTACCGTCGACTCCGTCTCCCATACCGTTTGTCAACCCCAATCTTTCAACGTTTGGAGACAGAGCGTCAGCAGTTGATTGCGTTCTCTGCGCCGAAACCGCGTCCAGAGTGCCGCCACAAACAGGTAAGCGTCAGCTAATGTTTCGTACTCTTCTAAACGATGAGTTCGCGGCGTCAAAGCGTATCGTACCACCTGAAACATCTACCTGCTTGTTTCATTCAGCGTAGGTTTCATCTCCTCTGGTCTTTCCAGTTCCATGACTTTATTCTTGCTTGTGGGAAACCTAATCGATTGCTGAATTTTCCAGAACTCCACATTCGTGTCTTAGCCTCGACACCAGTGAGGGTTGACTGTACTGACTGCTGCGAAGGTTCCCAACCGGAGAGAAATTTCTTCAAGAATGGGAAGCTTGGCACTTTAGTGGAGGGATTCGGTGGTGGTACAATTTTAACTTGTTCTGTTTTATTCTCTACCATATTTCAACCAACCATATTACAACCGACTTCTCAAATGAGTTAAACGTCTTAATAATAATGCATCCACAGCGTCCTACTTTGTTGAGTTTATTCTGATAAAATAACCTCCCATATTAAGGTCATTTCGACCATTCCTGATAGGTTATCTTTGTTGGGGGGCGAGATGGCTCAAGTGGCTAGAGCGCGAATTTACTGACCGGAAGGTTCGTGGTTCGAACCCGACCTCTGCCTCTCGACTCTCCCTGTCTAGCTTGGGCAACCTGGCAGTGTCCCAGCCCTCGTGTTTCCTTCGGATGGAATGGCAGCTAGGCACCTGCAGGGTGTTACAGCTGAACGATATCTTCGTTGGATGCTCATTGCGTCGTGAGCTCTGTCTTTTCCGAGCCGCCATTCAAACTATTGACATCTTTTGTCGTTTCCCCAGCCTCTTGCTTCTCTTTCAAACTGCAGCCATGAGATACTTGACCATGCTTTTAGAATTTGTGTTTGCTTGGGTCGTCCCTTAGCTGAACAACAATGTTTTCGTTTTCGAAAAAGTTTGGTGACAATCGGTAGATTTATTGCTGGGCAACGTTTCGCTTTTGACACAAAAGCTTCGTCAGGCCAAGTGACTAGGTTCCGAGGTTGGTCGAGATTTAAGGCAGAAGGAGAACCAATCAGCTAAGTCAAGCTTAATCTCTGCTGGGTGTCGGCCGAGGGATTTTAGTGTGTTAGACTGATTGAGCAAGTGTTGGGTCGGTGGGCAAACCTACATGTGTTTGGGTCCAGCCTACGGTCTAGTTCTTCTGGTTCGGTTCATTTGATGATTCCTCTTGAACTTCGTTTGAACCTTCTGTCAGTCTGTGTGGGTGAGCTAGTGCTAAGATGGTTGTGTAAGAGGGGTGCTGTGACCTTTGGTCGGTTGGGGTTTCCACTCCCATCCCCCGGTTTTTTCTGATGATCCTAAGTGGATTGACAACCACACCGTCACGTGTCAACTCGGCTTATCTAAGACCGTTTTCCATACGCTCGCTAGCTCCACACCCTCGATTCTATTCACGCTGTGATGCTTAGTAATTTCCACCGCCTCGGCTATCAGCCGCTGTTGGAATCGGTTGCCGATGATCTGTTTTATTCTTTGTTTTGTAGGCGTCCCCACTCACCCACCTGTCGTCCACATAAACGACAAGGAGACAGTAACGCCGACTTTTGAATTCCCGCTGGGTGCTCTAAGAGACCGCATCAGTATGAGCATTATACAATATCTTGAGCAAACAGTGAACAGCGCCTCTGTGCTTTCAAAGTTTCCAAATGACCGTCTGCTTCGAGATCTTTGTCACAGTCGGTCGGACCGTCTGGAACAAATGAGGTTAGTCAGGAATGAGTGTTTAGCAGTCTCATAGATCTTTTCCGGTCCCAGAATAGAAACCTGTCCTCTAAGGGGATATCTTCGTCCGGGTCACATGAACCTTTCCATTAGATCGATGAGCAAAACCTCAGTCACCCTCAAAAGACGACTCGAAAATATCGCCTTGTTTTGTTCTTGCTGCTCCACAACGGAAAGCGTATTTTTTTATGAAGTCAAGAAATGAAAACATGAAAAACACGGCAGTTAATTTATGTTCAACTATCGTGAGCTAAAATGCTTAAAAACCGTTTAGCTGTGCTTGTTGGCTGCTGTACACGTTCCAGATGCTGTCTAGTGAGCTTCATATTTATTCATTTTCATACCAATAGGAGCTCCCATAACTTGTGTGTAATACACCTAAGTGTGAACTGTGGCGTGGAGCAAGAGCTCAACGGTTTAGTTGGTTTAGTTTTCCTAGTCAACTTTGAGCACACCTCAAAGTGTTTCGAACTGGGTAGCTCCCAGTTGTTTCGCCGGGACTCCAAAATCAGATTCTCAAGTGAAAATGTCATGATAAACAAGGTCTTTACTTATTTTTTGGCATATCCTGGATCACAATGGGTCATCTTCAGATACGTCTCGGACAACAACGGCCCACTAGTGATTGAGCCCTCAGGCCGCGTGAAGACAAAGGTATTTCGTCCCCCAACGATGAACTGTTTACCGTTAAGTTCAGTGGATGAGAATTCGGGGACACTACTTAAATCATCGCAGGTCGCCAGTGAGTCTCACTATCACGGTATCCTTGAAAAGCAGTAAAGCTATAGTACTTTTCACTTACTGTTTTCTAAAGGTACACATCCATAGACTATGTGCGTCTGAGTTCGCCTACCCTAGAGCCACACTGACAAACGCAGAACACCTCTTCAAGCTTCGTCATGACCTTGATTGTTCTATAAAAGCCAATTTCCGGTAGGTTCTGCCTGATCTTTCTCCTCAAACCTGTGTCATGGATACGAATACACGTCTCTCATTCCCATCGTCCAATCACAGAAAAATATCTCGACTAATTACTCATCCAGTCTGTTGGTGATCACATGATATGGATTACGTGACTGAAAGGTGACTGGCGCTTATATCCTGTCTGCCATTTAACCAACCTGCTGATCAGCCGCTCTTGGTCGTTCGATGTAATGCTTAGCTACCAAACTCTAACCCAGACTCGAATCTATATAGGTTCATGGGCTGGACACTGCTGACTATGATTCTTGGCTTTTCGGCATACTTGAACTTCACTCGCCCGATTCAATCTCGATAGCTACTTTCATCCACCTAACCACCCAAATTTTACAGTTTACCAGCACACATAACCTCGAGCTGAAGTCTTGTCCTTCTACGGTTTAACCACCTACGACTAGGGTGAGAAAACTTTGCACCAGCGTGGCAACATTGGATTATCAGGAACTTTACTGCAGACGGTGTTCTTCATAGGATGGTGACCTTGAGGGCGATCAGTCAGGTATTTCAAAGGAATATGGTACATTGGACAATAAGCAGCAAACTGGATTCAAGATCATTAAAAAGTCGCTGGGCTGCGTTTGCCAACCTCCGATACCTATGGCGCTGAAGTGACGAGAGTTCGTCTGTCAGTGGCAGAGCATACAATGCAGTGGATAATAAACGTGGCCTTAATGCGCGGAGGATGTCGGTGTTTGACCCTCGATGTCTCCGAAGCATTGGCCGGGTCTGAGATACACCGGATAGTTTTGGGAAAAATTAACTCTCCTGTGATGGATAAGTTACTCACGCCTCACGGGTTACGCTGTTTAGGACGTGTACTTCGTATGTCAGGTCTCTTTTCCCCCATCCCTGTACTGAGTGGAAGCGACTGAGAGCGGGATAGTATGTGATCTGGCAACGAGGTGTGAAAACTCAGTGGAGTCGACAACTGCTACCTCGCTGGATGGGAACCTCGGTACTCAATTCACCAATGATCAATAACACTGATAAAAAAAGTCTCATTCAGGCTCTCGTGCATCAAAGCTGTGGCTTTCAATGCGTAAATTCCCATTTTCCCGAACCCACTGATTGTGCCTCCAATGCTCGGCTGTGTTTCCCATGCTGTCCCATTTTCCGGTGGCCGAAACTGTAGCAGGTTGAACCAACATATTCTCGGTTTGTCGAGGATAAACTGGACTGAACATTTCTCGATGGTCTGTATAATCTACGCTCACCAACTCTGGTGTATAGTTCTGCGGCTGTCTGTCCCATGTCGTTGCACCCAATCTTATAAAAGCATCCTCCTCCGATGGCCATCCTTCTAGTGCACCAATACTAAATGGAACGTTTTTATTCCTCAAACTCTACTCTAAATCAGGCCTTGTTTGAACACTATCCGAATAAGCTCAGATGTCCATGTGGAATGACAGCCATACTAATCCATTCTTACTGGAACTTGATGCCACGGACAATACCTTTCTTTACCACCTAATCGGATTCACTGGGTACCCACTCGAGGCCCGTTTTTGACCTCAATTCGGGTTGTCATTCGGTGAACTTATCCTTTGCACAACGCTTTGACTCGACTAAACATTGATGGGACAATCTTGATGTATACCGATGTAGGGTCGGTGGACACAACACCTCTATAGTCTGGTTACTGGTGAAAGCTCCTAGTTTCTCACCATTGGTAAGTGTCAGACAATCCAGAAAGGGTAGTATGCCTGAAATGGATTACATCTCCATGACAATGCGGAGATTCCAGTTTGGTCACCAAAACCGTACAATTTACATAACGCTAGAAAGCGATCGATTACCGACCACATTCGGTCAATATTTTTCGCTTGAAGTCCGCTAAAATCGGAGATATTGGAGCCCCCATTGCTAGACCTCGCACGCAAGGTATTCGCAGGTAAGCGCCAGTGAAAAGAATTTTTCAGGAAGAAGCTATTTAACTCGAACAAGTGATTTGATTGATATCTGTTTCTTTGCATGCCGTTAACCAGTTGCTAGTTTGGGGTGCCCGGTATTGCTGCATGCATCGATTTCACCCGAAAGTGCTGACATCAAACCGTCCATTCTACAGCCGTTTGCCTGCTCCACCAAAAGATGGTGTGAAATTTTCATAGGAAATCTGTGACCGGATCATGGGGCAAATATTCCTAGGAATCGAACTGAAAAGCCAATTCATGATGTAAAATATATGAAACGTACACTAGTCACTAGTTTCATGATATTCCGCGAACTGGCACATTTGAAAAAGTTGGGGAAGCAGACGGACAGACAAACAGCGACCGTGCCAAGTAGAAGATCATCTGGCATCGAGTGCGTCGAAATAAAACCAGGATGGGGGTATTATATGTTGTATGCCTAACTATCATTCATTAATAAAGGCAACACTCGATCTTTGGCTGAAAAGTGCAAGTGTTGCTTCGAAAAAGAATTTCCGGGGCGTCCAAACCATGTCACAGCTCACTGTTTGATTGAATTTTCTCAAAACCTCGCTTTCCGTCCCCGACTATAAACACATGTTGACTTGTATCATAACCAACTAGACTGGTGTCCGTTATAGCTTCGAATTTTATTGGAGCTTGCTCAGCAGCAACTTGTCTGCATATACTAACGATTTGACCCTCATTTCTCTCTCGCAGGGCTGTGATTAAGGAAATACATGCCCGTGAACTGGAGCTACTAGACCAAGCGAAGCGTGAATAGCTTCCTCGTGGGTATTGTGTCACTCCTCCTATCGATTGTTTCCATTTTTACGTTTCCAACAGTGTTTTCTCTACTGCTTTTTCCGAATCAAACAAGTCTGTGATCCTTGTACATATCGGCCACACCGGTCTTGAAATATATACGTCAATCCGTGGGTTAGCCTTTTGTTTTATTTTCCATAGAGCTACGTGTATTTCATCATACTGGGCAACGTAGCAGCGCAGACCAGAGGCCATTCACTCAATGAGCTTAGTTACACTGAGTGGTATCGGGACGAGATGGCTCAAGTGGTTAGAGTGCGAATTTACTGACCGGAAGGTCCGTGGTTCAAACCCGACTTCTGCCTCTCGACTCTCCCTGTCTAGGCTTGGGCAACCTGGCAGTATCCCAGCCCTCGTGCAACCTTTGGGTGGCATGGCAGTTAGGCACCGAAAGGGTGCTACAGCTGAACGATTTGTTGTATCGTATCGGCAACCTCCGAAATCGCCTCTTCCAGGGGATTCTCGCGTGTGCGAGACAAACTATGCTTTGTATGCATGCTCCCGAGGCTTTTAGAATCATTCATTACCCACTAATATCATAGAAGATATCTGGTCGGGCAGTTCTCTGGTGAAACATTCATCATGAATTACATTAGTGGTTACAATAGGATTTCCTCGTTTGTACCATTCTTCAACTGAATGTGCTGCACAAAGATCCTCCCGTGCTTCGGTTGGCACGACATTCGATATGTTTTCTCGACACAACATACTACACATAAGACTGCTGTCGAAATTTTCAGTAGTGTTCTATGTGAAGAAACTATCACCCAGTTTGTTCGTATATCGGTCACTGCTGGTAGTATAGGCAACGATGGAAAAATGTTTTATACCTTCACACGGAGTAAAATAATAATAATAGTCCACCTGTAACAGCCTTTCGGTGCCTAGCTGCCATGCCACACGAAGGAGGCACGAGGGCTGGGATACTGCCAGGTTGCCCAAGCCTAGACAGGGGAAGGCGAGGGGCGGAGGTCGGGTTCGAACCACAGACCCTCCGGTCAGTAAATTCGCGCTCTAACCACTTGGGCCATCTCGCCCCTCACATGGAGTCAAAGGAAGGAAAGAAACTGGTCAGTCTCTAATATTCAGGGTACATTGCTTTACCGACTGCTTGTGGCTACTGCCACTACTCCACTCATTTGCTTGAGCCTCTCGCCGCATATATTCGTAGTTTTTCGGCAACGTTTTTGGTAGCAGTGGTGCGTTCAACCTACTGCATTTAGGGGATAGTGTGGTACCGGCAGATTGTATTTGTTCGCATTTAGTTGCTGTTATTATGCACAAGTACTTGATAGCGTATGTTCGGTGCAGTAGACTGCAATCAGTTCAGCCGTTCCTTGAGAGTGTTCCTAAATAGCTTGCGCACAAATTCCCATGATGGGGACCAGTAGTCTATTTAGAGGAGCCTTGGGGAAATTGAACGCAGGTTGTCGAAATAGTGTTCCTTTATTTGTTCCACCAGTTACCCGGACTGGGCTGCCAACCGATTAGTCCGTGTAGGGGAATCAAAGGGACCATATAAGTAGCACCTCTCTGCGGTTTGCCAATCTGGAGCTAACGTGAGGATAAAACATCCTAGAAATTAGGTGGGAAAGATCAGTCACATTGGATTTTCGCGAGTATCCAATCCATCCCCTGATGCTTACTCGATTGAAGAGTAGAATCGGAGGAAATCGCACAAAATGTGACCAGCAGCAAACCAGTTCCATGTGATTAATGAGTCTACATAACACTCGATAACAGGCACAATTACAACAGAATTAACGGTTACGGATAGGTTAAATGTGAACACAACGTTTATTGAAGTTGTGGCTCTGCGGAACATTCCCGCATGCAGCGCCCGACGTAGCAGAGCTAGCAACTTCATGAACTATTCGCAGTTAGCCAC